ACTGGTAAGCTTCTGCTCCATAATTCCATGATTGCTCATATTCTGTGCTAAAATTGGTTCTTTTGTCCTTTGTGGATATTGAAGTTGAAGTTGGCTATTTTTGGCAGGCACAAAACTGAAGTACAAACCTGGAATTATTATGGGAGGAAGACATTTAGTTCATGATTGTGGTGTCAGTCGCTCCATTAGCTACTTCTTGGAACCGTTGATTGTGCTCGGTTTGTTTGGAAAGAAACCACTCACCATCAGGCTTAAAGGCATGCCTTTACCCTCCTTTTGATCTACTTTAACTTCTTTAATTTTTCTTAAAGGTGGTTTGGTGTTTGTTTTTCCCTTTATCTGTACTTTCAACTCATTGCATTAGGCGTTTGGGCATGATTTGATTGAGATTTGAAAAAAGTAGTGTTTGAAGTTAAATTGGAAAAAAGTATTCCGAAGCTGAAAGTCGTGTTTGGACATGAAAACAAATTTGAAGTTGTTAGTGAAAAGTTAAAAAAACTCGAAATATCCATTTTCAAACTTCAAATTCTATATTTCAAGTTTGAAATTTAAATAATGGGACAATTTAATGACAAACACTTATTTTGAAATGGATATAAGTTTAAATATTCCAAATCTTATTCATGGCCAAACGACTCCTTAAATACCAAGTGGACGCTTGAACTGAGGTGTCTTTTTATAGCTAAGATTTTTCTAAACAAATTAATTGGATTAATCATCTGGAATGTTCAGGACGACATCTCATCTCCAGGTTATATTTCATACCTTAATATATCACATGTTTTCTCAGTTTTATTTGGCACTCCAATCCCCTAGTCTTATTCCTAAAATATCCTTGAACCCGTTTTCCTCATCTTAGATCCTCCCCAACCTTTGCCTGGTTTTATCAATTCTCTCACAGTCTGCCGCTGGAAGCGTCATTCAACTATCTCTACTTCTTTTTTCACTTTTGTTTCAGGACTTCTATCATCTTTTCCATGTTTTTAAGCCTAAATTGGGACCAGAGTTGTTCTGGTGATTGATAACATGCCTGGTGGATATTCCAGCTTCACCTAAAGCAGAAGCATGATCAAAGAAATCAGTTCCTTCTCGTAACCACATTAGCTTCTAGTTCCACTTCCTCGCATGCTGCCAGTCTTTGATTGTCCTTAATCAATCAATTTCATACAGGATTAGATGACCACATACACAATTGCAATTGGATTAGATGTCCACATACACAATTGCAATTTGATCCCTTGAGTTTTTGCATATAGTTTTTGACTGAAAACAGAAAAGTGCAATAGCAATGACAAATTCTGAAATTCTTTCATTAAAAAAAATGACAAATTCTGAAATTCTATGACTTTAGATGAGAAAGATTAAAAGATTTCTAGGCAACTACCTGTAAGAGATTGGCAGCCTGATAGTTACACAGCCCTGGAAATGGTTGAGGAAATAGCAAGTTTTTAATCCCTTAGTAGCCGTTATTAGTCTTAACTCTGCATTTTGTAAGAAAATCGGCCTATTTTTGACTCCTTTGGGTGGTGATTCAATGGAAGTTGACATAAAAAGGGAGATAGGATTGTTATCCAGTATGTTACTTGGGTTTTATAGCTCAAGAAGCTCACTGGAGCTCTAGTATCACTCCCCTAAAAAGTTGTGAGGTGCAAAGATAAATCCTAAAAGTACAGAAACTTTGCTCTCGCTTTGAATTTTACAGCTTTTGGATGTTAAAACCCTTGATTTCCTTATAATCAAATGTGAATTCGAAAATTTTATGCATTTGCTTATTATCGTAAGGCTTGAAATAACTTTTTTCAGGGATCACAAATGATTCAAAGGACCCATCTATTGATACTTTTCGATCAACTACTTTGCCTATATTGAAGCAATTTGGAGTCCCTGCAGAAGGTTTGGAACTGAAAATTGAGAGTCGGGGAGTCGCTCCTAAAGGTGGTGGAGAAGTAGTTCTTTCAGTCCCTATGGTCCCGAATAGTTTAAAGGCGAGTTTATTTTTCATAGACTTCATTGTTTTCTATTCTGAGGTAGCTCAGCAAACTATAGGTGATCTTTTTGACCAATTGTTTTGGTGACTGCTATTATACAGGCTGTTAAATGGGTTGATGAAGGTCTGGTGAAGAGAATTAGAGGTGTTTCCTTTTCAACTAGGGTCTCTGTTCAGTTTGAGAATACCATGATACACGCAGCTCGTGGAATCTTGAATCCTTTGCTTTCAGATGTTCACATCTTTACAGATCATAAAGCTGGAGCACAAGCCGGAATGTATGATCATTTTGTAGATATCTCGCACTTAATTTCTTTTTATGTTGTAACTATCCAGGTCATGTTTTAAGTTGGAGCTGCTGATTATATCTGGAGGTCAACTTTGATTGCAGGTCACCTGGCTACGGAATTTCTTTAGTTGCAGAGACTACATCTGGTTGTGTCGTATCTGTTGATACTGCAGTTTCTTATTCAAGAGGAGAAGATGATGCTGACCTAGAGGATGATAGGAAAGATCTGATCCCTGCTGAGGAAGTTGGCGAGCAAATAGCTTCTGCACTACTTGGGGAAATTAAACAGGGGGGAGTCGTTGATTCAACACATCAGGTGTGTGTAATTTTTGACAACGTTACTCGTTATGAGTTCTAGTTGATCATATCAGGCTCTTTCATCTTTCTACATGACACTGTCTTTTACCTTTGCATCTCCACTTGAATCTCCGCCTACTCATGTGACTTGTGACATTTTGGTGTGCTTATCAGTACTTCTACATTTAAATCCCGGAGCAAGCTTCTTTCAGTTCCCATTCATAAATGTTGCCTAGCACCACTTTAGGGCTGAAAATAGCAAGGATATCTCCTTTAAGATGGTCTGGTGCTCTCTCCCATGCTAGGATTTCTTGGTTCCATTGCTCACCAATCTCTTGTTTGTCTATTATAACAGGGACTGCTGTTTCTTCTATGTGCCTTGTGTCCGAAAGATGTTTCAGAAGTTCGAGTTGGGAAGCTGTCACCCTACGGAATAGAAGCATTAAGGCACATCAGAGATTTTTTGGGTGTTAAGTTTGTCATGAAACCTGATGCCTCCACAGGAACTGTCAATCTTATGTGTCTTGGCTCTGGATTTCAGAATTTATCCAGAAAAGTATCATGATAAAGAATTGGGTGGTTTCATAGATGGAAAAGTGCGACGCCTCTGTATCAGCATATTCTGAATGGCTCGACATTCATCAATGGGGTGGTTTAGAGTGAAATCAAGCACAATAGTGTCACACAGGCTGGAGATTTTGATGTGGTCGCTAGTTATAAAGCTTGTAATGAGAGTGCTGTAGGAAGCAAACATAGAATCACATGCCCTCATCTCCCATTGGGGTTGAAATTTTGGTATTAGAGTTCTAAATTATATATATTTTGATAATACTTCCTTTTCTGGTTCTAGCTTTTCTCGTCTATTGGAAACAATGTCTTTACCTTCTAAGGTTTGCGTACACACCACCCTCTCCACCGCCTTATGGGATTACATGGAGTATTGATGTTGTAATTTTTCTTTTGGTTGACAAATCATTTGCTTTGTGGTCAAGTTTCTAATTGAAACTGTACAAGAGGAGATCATGTACCAACTTTTAATTCAGTTTAATTCTCAGCAGGTTAACTAATACCAGCGAAAAATAATTGTTTATTCCCTTTTCAAACTGGAAATATTTTTAATTAAAGTACAATTAGGTAACATTGAGAAGCTCTGCAGTCCTACCTCCCATTTTATAACATGACAGGTCATTTTTAGCTACACAAAATTTCTTTTGGTCAATCATCGAATTATCTTGAATATTCAAAAGCAATATGGACTATAAACTCTATAATATAGTCATATAGATTATTATTATTATTATTTATCGTAGAATTGTCAATAAAATTTTCCCAAACGACAAACACTAAGATCAAATTTTTCCAAACTTAGGATGATTGTTTTGACTATTTGTGTATATTGATTGTAGACCATTATAAATTATAATTAACCCTTTCATTAAAATTGCTATTCCTAAAGACTCTTTCTATTTGTAACTGAAATATATAAAAAGGAAAAAAGAAGAAGGTGGAAATGGGTGTCAATATTTGTCTCTTTCTTCTTTTTTTTTCCTTCTAAATAAATTCTTCTGAATCTCTTCATTATGACGTAGTACTTACTTCTTTCATTTTGCTTTTCTTCTGTCTATTTTTAGACTTCTTCACATCTTTTATAAAATATTAAATGTAAATCATTAATTCATTTCCAAATCATTGACAACACTAAAAATATTTTTTTAATGTGACTAACTAAATATAGATGCATTCTCAATTTGTGACATGACATGACAAATAGTTTCAATAAAAAGTCGAAGTTGAAAACACCTCTAAACTTAGTAATTGTAAGATTGAATGTTTATTTAAGTTCAGTTAGTCAAATAGAAAAATGTTATTAAGATTGCCATTAGTTCAAAAATAAAACTAATAGTTCACTTTAATATTTTAAAATATTTTTAATACTTTTTTCTCTATTATATATAGTAAGGTGTGCAAAGGAGAAAGTGAACTAGTAATATAGACGGAGGTACTAAAAATATTATTTCTTCTGTCTTATTTTATATGTTTTCAAGAGTCAAATCATTTAACTTTGATCGAACATTTGCTTATAGAGTCTTCAATTTTTTTTGAAATGAAACTTGTATATTTGTAAACTATGTAAAGAGTACTGCAAGTCACAATAATTAATAATTCAAAATATTAAAAAAATCTATAAAAAAATCAAAGATAAATTTATTTAAATCTTGAAATATGAAAAGTATCACATAAAAATGAGACGCAGTGAGTATTATTTATTATTATCAAGAAGAAGTAAAGATACAATAACATCCACTCAAAAACAATGAAACAGCAACCAAGAATGAGCCCACACGTAGCAGCTAACACCAAAAAGACAACTTATCAAAAAAATAAAATAAAAAAATAGTGTACTTCTATTGATTGTATATTTCACCATTTCCCACCACACCCAATATTTATTTTTAACAAAATTTTCATATTCGCCCTTCTTTCTCTTTTTTCGCCCTTCTCTTCTCTCTCATTCATTGCTTCGGTTGGAGATTCCATTACAGTTCCAATTAAAAAAGAACCAAAAAAAGGAAGAGCTCATAAATCACGAAATCTACATTTGTTGTTCCTTTAAATTGATTGTATCTCATGTTTTTGCACCCCTTTCACGTGTTCTTTGCCTTTTCTTGATTTCGCTTTTCATTACTTCTTCACATTCCTTTCAATACCCATTTTACATTGATAAAAATATTATCTTTTGGCTTTCTTATCGGTTTTTGTTTCTGGGTTTTGTGTATTGTGGAAAGTTGCATCCTTGGGAGGTGCATGCTGTTGATTTTTCTGAAATCTGCATATTTTTGCGGGGTAAGAAGCAATGTATGCTTTTGTTATGATCTGAAAGCTTTTGTGTGCATTGGTTATATATCTTTGGTTTGTTTCTTTTCCGGGTATTGTTTAGAGTATTGTGACTTTGCATAGACCTGATCTCTTGCATTATTCTAGATTCGGGTTGTTTGACCTTTGATTTGGCAGCATCTAGTGGTCATAAAAACAAAATCTTGAAAATGGGTCGGTGAACAGAAACTAGTTTGGCCTTGTTTTAGACGGCTTGTGGGTGGGGTGTGGAAGGAAGGTGAAATTACTTTGCTGATTCACTTTGCATATGTTATAATGCTGTGGTTTTAGTGTTTTTCTTTGGTTACTATTTGTTCTCTGATTATCTTTAAGGCTTGTTGAGCTTGAATTTCTAGTTGATTTTAGTGGTATGGTAATTTGCTGTTTGTTTTTGAGTTCATATTAACAAAGGGGCTAAGGAGTCGTAGCGGAGAAGTAGTTTTAAGTTGTACATGATCTTAATGCGAGTTCTTTTGCTTCCGGTAAGGATTCATTTAGTGGATATCTTAGGAAGGCAGCAATCCAGAAGATTGATGCCAAGGTGTGTTCAAGTTGGATCATGATTGTGTCATTGTGATTTTGGAGGATTGGACCCTTCAATTATTTAGGAGGAAGACAGAGGAGAGAATACAAGGCATTCAAGTGTACTAAATGATGTTTGTGGCTTATATTTTGAGCTATTCATAGTTGAATTGATATAAATTTGGGATAAAGATAATTTTCTTGTCATAGCTGCCTGTATGTGATTTGATCTTTAGGATGCTTGCAGCTACTCATTTTCATCTTAAAAGGTTTCAACTTATCCTTTGAAGTCTTTTCACAATGCGCATCAAATGCATTTATTATGCTCAATTCAGTGTTAAACAAACATTTATTATGCTCATACTATATTAAAAAACTGCTTCATGCTAATAGATATATTTCTGAATATTCCATTTCAGGAAGCTCTGGTATATATTGCAGTTTACATGTATAGGTGATCTTCATTGTATAAACATAGATGGTTTTTAAGAAGAGAGCTAAAGACATGACAACTGCAATCGGTAGAAAGGCAGCTCCTGCACGGAATATAGTGGCATTTAGATCTTATCAGAGTCAGGCTGAGACCCTGGTTAAAACTTATTTGTTAGCAGATCCTTTTATACCTTATACCTCTGTCTTTGCTGGCATATTTGCTTGCAAAATGGTAAGGTTTATTGATTATAGATCATTTTATCCTTTTCATTCTTGTGACTATTTAAGAAAGGAGTTCCCTTTTTTTATTAAAAGCTGAGTCATACTTGATGAAGATATTTTACATTTTCTTGGTCTTCTCTCTTCATGTTTGTGAAGTAAAAGATATAAAAGCAAAAGATTGGGGAAACTATAAAACATCTAATTGATTTCGCCAGAAAATTATAGATCATGTCCTACATAATAACTTTCGTGTGCTGCACAATTTCTCCCCTGTACTACCGTTCCTTTTAAACTCTTTTGGCTCTTCACAGGTCTATGATCTATGTCAACTGATCAGCAGTTTTTACTTTAGGACGTACAATACCCTAACAAAAATTCAAAGGACTGAGTGGAATAACCGGTAATTAGCCAGCTCTATCTCTATCTTCCGCAAGGATTTAATGATTCACTGCTCATGTTTGTGAGACTTATTTTTCTGCAGTGGCATGTCAACAGTTCATGCCATTTTCATATCTGCTGTGTCCACGTATTTTGCGTTCTGGTCCAATCTTTTCTCTGATCAAAATCCTGATGGCCTTTTAATCGCCAGAAGTTCACCACTATCAACTTTTACATTAGGGGTAAGTAATCTTCTACTGTATATGATGAGTATTGTCTAGTTATATCCCTTTCATTTTGGATTTCCTTGTGAGGTTTTGATATTTAGGAATTTGAGATCTAACATATCTCTTGCTGTAGAACAAAGATGGCTCTGGTATTGATACTTGTAATGCTAGTGTAGATGGAACTTCAATCATAAATTATTTATTTAGTATGTTCTCTGGATTCATCTCTTTTTCTGTTTCTTTACTAGAAATTTTAGGCTCAATTTTTCTTTTGCAAAAGAATACTGATTGTTCTTTGCTATATGTACCCCCCGGGCTTCATTTTTTATGTGTAAACCAGGTGCTGAGAATGGTAATATGGTGACATTTCTTTTAAAAGCGTTCTCTGATATCAACTCAAATGATTTGCCTTGAACCAAGTATTTGATACTAAATCTAAACCAAAGAAAAAATTGTGCACACTAAAATCACCTTTTGAGTTGACCATAAAAAAGATAGCAGTATTCCACATCTGAAGAACCCTTATTAAAGACCAAAAAAGAAGAACCCACATCGTTTTATAGACATTTATTGGGTATCATATTCATTCCCCATTCCTGTGGCCTGGCCTTCCAGAACAGAACACGATTGCGCGTACACACATTTATATATGTACTTATATTGGAACTTGGGTATTTGAGACTAAAAAATTACCTTTCACAATAAACTTAATATTGTCTATTATAATTAACCCATATTACTTCTCTTTTCTGGGCCAACCAGCCAGAAAAAGTTGGTCTCGCACAGGGATATATTAGACTCACAAGATTGATTGAGAGGAATAATGAAGATAAAAAACCGGTTTTTGAAGTTTAAACACTTTGGGCATGAATTTGGAAGGATATGCACTTTTCAGAATTGGAATAAAACGGATAGGATAGAGCAAAATGGATGTAGACGATTCATATGATAAACTCTAAATAATTTGAATGGATACAGTTGATTTATTCATGGTTTAATTGCATCGTATAGAGCAATGTGAGGTGGGATTCCCAAAGGGGGTTTAAGGTTGTGGATGATACGGATGCTATGGTCTTTGACTATTTCAGATGGAACTGTTGAAGAATCATATGAGATATCACTTTTTGGAGGTAAATTAAGATTGAGAAAAGGAGCAGCAAAAAGAGGAACCTTTTTTGAAGCTCTAACTAGCCTCAAGGCAGACATCCAAGATTTTGATCTTTATGGGTTCCCCTTTTAAGTTTTTTAGCATTGAACTCATCATATTCCTAAAGTTACAGGTTTCATAATTCTATTTTTTTTATAAATTTTGTAGTCTTTTTTACCCATGAATTTATGATTTGGTCGAAATTACTGAGTTCAGATGAACTTGGTATTGATACTTTGAATCCACTTCTGACTAGCCTAGAGGGACACCCGAGGAGGATGTGATGTTGTTGAGTCCTGAGGGGAAAAGGGAGGAAGATGTCAGTGAAATCATATGATTGGGTCTTATCTTCAGAGTGGGATAGGTGGTAGGTGAGTACAGCACTGAAGTACGTAGGAAGGTTGTTACTTTAACCTGGTGAATGCATTATTGATGGTGGACAACGCAAGGAAGGAGAGGAGAAGAATTGTAGGGATTTCATGCTCTTGTGTAAGATAATTGGTGAAAACACCAACCAATTCCTGTTACATTTTATATTCACTACACAGTTGTGGAATTTCCCTAGTTCTCTGTCAATGTTTCTTTGCAAGTACCAATCACAGCTACAGAAACCATCATGAGCCGGAGGTATCAAAATGTCAACAGAGAGAAAGAGACAGTTCTTTCTCTGTTTTGTTCCTTCCTCGGCAAGCTTGGGATTTTCCTGATGTAGGCTCCCTGGGTATGGTTTCGGAGTTAATGTAAATGCCCTATCTTCAAAGTATGCTTCTGACTATGTTTTCTTATATCTTTTAAACTAATGTGAGATGGAAGAAACAAGATTGTTCTACAGTAGTCAAGGAACAGAAATAGTATAAGATGATCTCTTTTCCCTTGCGTACTTTAGTAACGCAAGGAACATAAGTAGGAGAAAAAGATCTTTTTTGTTTCACGTACTTTTTTGGTGGAAGTATCAGTATTATAATGGGATAGCATAAATGAGCTTCGGTTGAGGCGCTCTCACTTTTGTTCAAATTGTTCACACCAGCTTGGCTGTCAATGAATGCTCTTTTTTCTATATTCAACCAAAAAAAAATAAAAATGAACCATTAAATATTAAAAGAGTCAAGAATTTATTATCTTTCTTTTGCTTAGGTGTTTTTTGTAAATGCAAACTACAAAAATGTATTGTTTCTTTTGTTTCCTTCCTATAACACTGCAACAGCTTCCTGAAAAAAAGATGTAGCTTCAGAAAAATCGGTGCATGAAGTTGGTTTTTCTTTCTTTAAGCTGGTGTAATGCGTATTAGAGTTCCATTATGTGGTTCATTAGTTTTATTCCATGGTATTTGCACGATTCTGTTTGGTTAGTGGATCTGGGTATGTGGTCGTGATGCATTAACTTGCTTGAATATTATAGAGTCAATATAGCAGGTATGCTGGTCAGGACTTACTAACCTATTAGCTTTGAACTTGATTTACCTCTCTTATTTTCATATGCTAGTAGGTAAATTAGATATCAAATTCTCTCGGTATATGGCCATTTTAATCCTCTCACCTTGTGACTCTGTTCAGGTGTCAGCTGGGTACTTTCTTTCAGACCTTGGAATGATTTGCTGGTTTTACCCTTCTTTGGGTGGATTAGAGTATGTAAGTATATATTCTCCAGTGGAAGAGAACTTCGTCAACCATAGATATCTGTTTCAAGAAATACTTCATTTAGCATCGATTTATATGTTGTATGTCAAATTCTAACTGTTGATTTTCAGGTTGTCCATCATTCTCTTTCAGCAGTTGCTGTAGCATACTCCATGTACACTGGAGAAGGACAACTTTATACGTTCATGGTACTCATATCTGAGGTGACAACACCCGAGATCAACATGAGATGGTAGGTGCTAAGAGCACCTGTTGGGAAAGTGCAGCACCATTCATGTTGTAGCACCCTATGAACTTATGTCTCTTTTTTATGTCGTTTCTTCAGGTTTCTTGATACAGCTGGATTGAAAAGATCTTATGCATATCTGATTAATGGCGTGGTGATATTTTTTGCATGGTTGGTAAGTGATGTCTTCAACATGAACAAACTTGTTTGCATGGTTGGTTTCATGGATGTAGGAATGGGGATTATCCAGGGTACTCTCGATTTTAGCAAGTTTCTTCATATGCTGAAGAATCTGAATGATGTATCTTCATCATGTCATTCCTGTTTAACAGGAATATTCAAAGCAAATAAAGGGTCCATTAAACATAAGTTGCATGTCTTATAAGAGAGGACCGTTACACTTTTAGTGCATTTGTTACTCCACTCATCTGAAATTCTAATTCCAGACAGATTGGGGAAATGATTGCTCCTTAGAATTGATAAATGACTTGATTCAATTGTCTTTAAGACATCTAATTATTTGAACGATTCCTATTAGTATTTGCTAAACTGAATCTTTTTACTAATTGCAGGTTGCAAGAATATTGCTGTTCATTTACATGTTTTACCATGTCTATTTGCACTATGATCAGGTGACTCTTTGTTTATTGTCAACTCTCTCTTTCTCTGCTCAACAAACTCTTTTAACTTTTTCTTCTGAGGTATTAGGCTATTCTGGAATACGTTCTATACTCCCCGGAAATGCCCAAAGAAGTTTCTATAATTATTCACCCTTGTCAAAATCCAACCATTTTATTTGTCAACTTCGTTAGACGTAAAAACACATCAAAGTCTTGATCTCAAGAATTTTATGGCCTTAATTGTAAGACTAACAGTATTATATGAGAGTGAATCTAAGATATTCATAAAATGAGTTTCACAGAAATGCAAATGTTAAGAATGAGGTGTGATACTACAAGATTAGACATAATCGATAGGAGATGAAAGAAACATAGATAGACGATGAACTGAGAGATTGCTTGAGATGGTCGTGTCTTACATAGATGTCCAAATGCTTCGTCCGCAGATGTGGAACCATGATGAAGAAAGGTGTTATAAGTTGACAGGGTAGACTAAAATCCCATGGAAGGAAGTTGTATATTGTGTTATAAGACCTATAATCTCTTGGACTTCATGCAAAGTTGGGGAAAAGTATAACATAAAGGAAGCAAAAGATTCATACAGGCTATGTCCAATTGTCCATTAGTTGGGAGGAAGACTTAGATATGGGGGTAATGCTTACGTCATGTCTTCTTTTTGGTAGGTTTGTTTCAATCCTTCTACATATTTGTATGCCTGTAGTAATATAGAGAACTTGTTAGGTTAGAAAACCCAGTGTTGTGAAAAGCGCGATTCAAAGCGAGGCGACCCTTATGTGCTTTTTTATCTTGAGGCGAGGCGATCTGAAAAAAGCTCTCGCTTCAGATGAAGAAGCGAGAAGCGACCCTAAGGCAAAAGTGCAATAAAGCGCGTTTTTTTATAAAAAGCGACAATTAGGATTTCTTTTTTAAAAAATTAGGTTTTTAAAAATAATCTGATATAACCTTCTCTCTCCTTACGACTCTTCTTTCACGACTCTTTCCCTTCTTTCTCTCCTCGCGACTCTTCTTTCACGACTCTTTCCCTTCTTTCTCTCCTCGCGACTCTTCTTTCACAATACTCCTTTCCCTTCTTTCTCTCCTCGCGACTCTTCTTTCACAATACTTCTTTCCCTTCTTTCTCTCCTGACGATCTCGACTGAGGCTGCCTCTCTCTTCAACCTCGACCGCGACTGCAGGTAACTTTTTGTTCATCTCTTTTTTAGCTAATGTTTATTAGTTCATCTCTATGAGTTTCTTTTCTCCTGAAATATACAATCTTCGCCTGTGCTTCATCTCTTCATCTCTCTAAGTTTCGACTACTCTAGTTTTTTCTTCTTCTCTTCTTTTCTTCATCTCTGCTGCCTGTTCTGTTTCTAATAACTGACTGCTGCCTCCTCTGTTTTTTTTTCAATTCTTTTGCTTTTTTAAAATTTTTTTTTTGTGATCAGTCTAGCAGCCTTGTTGAAGAATAGGAGTTTGAATCTTTGTTATTTAATTATGTTTTTGATTTTTTGCTTTATATGTTATGACTTGTGATTATTTTTGCCTATGTAATTTCTTTCAATCTAAGACTATATTACCTCTATTTAGTATTTAATATTTTTTTTATTTTTATACTAAATGTCACTTTTTTTTTAAAAAAAAAGCGCGCGCTTCGCTTCACGCTTCTCGCTTCTGTGAAGCAAGCCCTCGTCGCTTTTTTCCGCTTCTCGCTTTCCAAAACACTGAGAAAACCTCAAATCTTTGAATATTTGAATGAAATGGGTCCAAACTGATTGAAATGGATAGTCAGGATCCATATGGCTGATGTCAATTAGATCGAAATTGAGGTGGAATTATCGATAGTTTGAATTTAAAAAATGGCCTGTTATTTTCAGTGAAGGATTTTCAAGAAAATGTTCGAAAACAAATGATATTATACTCTTAAAAGAAGTCTCTTGTGCAAGATTCTGCAGTGATATCCCATATAACTACTACCAACTCATTGATACGGATTTTTTCATAAGTAAAGCCTTTTCCCTCTTATTCATAGCTTTCACCAGAAAGTCTATTATTAATTTAGGTATTTGAACTTAGATTGAATTAATGAAAAAAAAACTTACTGATGCAAATTACAACGGAAAAGAATGAATACGCTTCTGCTTACAAAGATAAGAAAAGAAAAGGCAACTAATCAGGAAATGCAGATAACCTTAGTACTAATTTATCCAATGGATTCTAGAAGAGACACTTTGATCTTGAAATATCTTGACATTATACTCTAGCCATATGCAGCAGTAGTAAAAAGTCTCTCATCGTTGTTGGAAATTTTATCTTGTATTGCTAGAGCCTTCTTCCCTCCAAAAGCTATAGATTTTGTGATAGCAAAGTTATTTAACTTCAAGGAGTAGTACATGCCTCTACAAAAACTCCAATTTGCAAAACGCAAAAACACATTGCTCAAGATTCGTTACTACTTGTGCATGGCACCCGAAGTATGTAAAATTTCTTGTAGACTGTCAATATGCAAAAGTTCATGAAATTTGAGTAAGGGAAGATTCCTCCAGTGAGATACAAGAAGTCAAAACCCACCGCGGAATTGTCGATGCACCTTTGTGATTGTCTCAAAGAACAATCTCTACTATTAAGACACGCATGCATCTTGTGATCATAAAGTGGACTTATTGGGATCACAAAATAAATTAGCTCTCTATTTTATTTATGTCAGTAAAACTGTGAAGCCCCCTTTGTGATGTGTTACCTACCTGAGCTACAGAGTGATGAAATGGGAGCATCATAAGCCTTGAACTCTAAGCTATGATATAAATGTTGATGGAATGCATTATCCTTTTTGAGTGTTTACCATACCTTATCAGTTCTAGTAAAACCAATAAAATTGGCTCTTAGAAGCTTACAAGTACAGGCAAAGTTCCCAGAAATATGAATAGCTTAAAGGTTATGCTCTTAACTAAAGATATAACTAGCATATTGTTGAATTTAGAAAGCTTCTGATCCTTCAATGTCCTTTTTTTTTGTATCACTTCTCTTTCAGCATACATGCTTTCCTTATTTTATTTGTTATTTAGTTTTGAACAAAGTAAACACGGGGCTGCAGTTGCACCAACTATAAGTAGTAAACGCAATATAATGCAAATTTGTATCGCACCTAAGATTTAAAATTGTCATTATAGAACATTAAAAAAAAAATTCATATTTACACATGGAGATCAACCATAAGTAGCAATAGGCAATCTAAAATTTATTGACTGAGAAAATTTTAAGTAAATATTCCTTTTAAACAGCTGATATACTAGTAAAGAGACCTATATGGATCTATAGAATATTCACATGAAGGAATTAACACTAAGCTTAATCTGTCTCCCTCTGTTGAACTTTTGGTACTGTGCAAACCATTTTCTTCACATATCATGTATAAGATTAGACAGCATATGAAACAGACCTTCTGCTGGTTAAAAGTTTCTTCTTGCTGCAAAAAAGTTAATTATTGGCTGGTGAGTAATGCTGTTCTTGAAAGTGATGTTTTGTTTCTATATTATATATGAGACATGGATCTACATGAATATCTCCGCAACAGTATACGAGGTTTGGAAATAGAAGAGGGGATTTGGAAATAGTATAAGATGTTCTTTTTTCAATATTCTTTTTCTTTTCCCCTCATTTGTTTCCTTTTGCGTACTTTAAGGAGTTTTAGGGTGCTTCATTCCTTTCTTTCCAATAAGAGCAATCTATTTATTTTCTCATTCAAGATGTGCTAGTATCAAATGATTTCCATCATTTATTTATTTTTGTCTTTGAAACATTAACTGATTGCAGGTCATTCACATGCACATTTTCGGTATTCTCTTGGTTTTTGGAGTTCCGTCAGCTCTTGGTGTAATGAACATAATGTGGTTTGGCAAAATTATCAAGGGGTTGAAAAAGAATCTTTCGAAAAGGGTGTGACAAGATGTCAGTTGTTAGTTTAATGCATTTTTCCCATGAACTCCTCTACACTGTACAAATGGGTTGTAAGGTAGCTAGCTGAAAGGGGAAGAGAGAAGGATTAAAGACCTCGGAAGAATAGATTGTAAAATCAACAGAAACGAATTCATGTAACTGGATACTGGCAAAGCATGTTCAAGAAGCACACATATTCTATATCTATTGTGTGAAGGAAAGTAGAGCAATTCAATGAGAAGCCCCAGCGGTAAGTAAGTAACACGAGCCCTGTATAAGTGATACAGTTGTTTTCATGTGATAAACATCTCAGAGCCAGTAATTCCACTTGCATGTTAGCGTGTTCATATGATTTCGTTGTTCCCTTCAACTTTAAATTAGTCATGAACGAGCCATCTCATTTTGCTTTGATTCTTAGTTTGGTGTCACGCTTTCAAGGCGTGTATAGTTTTTGGTGTACTATCAGATTTTTCATTTTCCTGTAAAGATGTAAGTGTTCAAATGTGGAGAAATGTGAATTTTGTGTTCTCTTGCAAGTATTTATTGTTTTGCATCAAAGAGATGAGAAATTTGCTTGAGAAATGAATACATTTTGATGGAGATTTAAGAAGAAAGATGTGCATCTTTAGTTGAGCACACAATTTCTCTTCCCAAAACAAGAACAAGTCCATTTCTCTATGCAAATGTGAAACAAAATCGTAATTATTTTTAGTCCAACAAATAATGGTATGGACGGTCCTTTTCTCAAATGAAAATGGCTGAAAAATAGATGCAGAGTGTAGCATGAATATCAAAACAATGAGTTCCAGTAGGCATTGAAGGGCGACTAAGCAAAAAGGGTAAAACAATAAGAAATGATAGAATCTAGACACGGAGAGGTCCAAGTGGATATGAAAAGAAAGCATACGAGCATACAAAAAATAAACTAAAGTACAACAAAACGTAATCGGACCTCAAATCAATCTTAGAGAACACTGAGGCTCCCTATAGCTGGTCAAATAGGTCATCAATCCTAATTCTAGGTTAACAATTCTTCACCATCCCCTGAATCAAATAGGTCATCAATCCTAATCCGAGGTTAACGATTCTTCACCATCACCTTATTCAGTTGCCTACAGTCAATGCACAGGCACATCGTACCGTCCTTAACAAAAAGAACGGAAGCGTCACAAGGTAACCTTTAACAAATAACATAGATGAGTCTTTTCCTAAAGTTCGATGATATATTTGAGAGATAAGTGTCAAAACACACCCACACTATACCTTTTTTTTGAGTTTCATACCTAAACAATTGAAAGTCTGAGTTTCATACCTAAACTATCACTTTTTAGTTTGAGAAACACAACTTTCTTTTATACCACTCTCATCATGGTATGTGTAATACTCTCTCTCTCTCTTTTATTTTAAAGAATTTCCACATCACACTCCACATGGACAAAATATCCAACCTTGACGATAAATAAATAAATTATTAGTATTAGCTAAAATTAAAAATTAAAAAAATATTATAAAAAATAATATTTTCTTTATAAAATAAAACGTAAAATATTTTTCTTACCCCACACCATTTTTTTAAGTTTTTTATTTTGCTAAAATTTCTTCTATAAAAGTATTTCAATTTTTACTTCATCTCCTCCCCCTCATCAAATACTAATTTAGATATTATTTTATTTTCTTAAAAATATAATTCTACCCATCCCACTTAACCCTTGAATATATTTTTTACTTGCTGCCACAAGACTTTTTATATTTTTTAGTTGTTTATGTTATATTCGGTACACTAGTAGGATTTTTTTTCTAAAAATATATGTATGTGCATATCTAACACAAAATAAGAAAAACGTAAAAGAATAAAAATTGGGAGCGAAAATTTAATAGGATGGGGTAGATTTTTTTAAATAAAATAATATCAATTTCTATCGGGGGAGGGGAAGGGGGGGGGGGAGAGGATGAAATATGAAATTTTTGCAAATATTTAATTTTTATCTAGATAAAATATTTTATTTATGTGGAACTCCATTTGTCAAAGTTTTTTCATATAAAAGAGAGAGTGCACTACACACACCATTGAAGTGTGTTTCTCAAACTAAAAAAATGATAGTTTAAATATGAAACTCACACTTTCAATAGTTCAGATATAAAACTAAAAAAAAAGTGAATCGTTTAAGTGTGTTTTTGACACTTATCTCTATATTTGAACATTTTTTCTTTTTTAATACCCGACAATCTGTCCTTAAATGCAATTGAGGTAGCTAAAGTCCTCCGAATCGTTAATGCTCTAATAATATTAAAATTTGCAGATTAAAACAAAAAAAAAGTTTGTTATAGATGGTATAAAGTAGTAATGAAGAGACAAATTAATTATATTTTTATGTAGTTAGACAAAAACAAGTGCAGGCAGGCAGTTACATTGTACCTTATACTAATTTTGATTCTTCAATTTCCAATAGTTTCATGTCATTTTCCAATATCCCAAAGTTTACGATAAAAAGCGCAGCCACCTTTTTTATTTAACAAATATTAGCAAGTACAATTCATTGGTTGTATAAACCATATACTTTGAAAGTGACTAACTCATTTATTTTAAACCAAATTAGTATAAAGCAGTCAAATCATTGACATTTTTCTACAAATAGAAAAAGCTATGTTGCATACTTAAAATAATATATTTTTTTCTTTTTTTCATTTTCTTAAAAATTATTTGGTAAGTTTTCAAAATTAACCCCTTACGTTTTCAAGTTTTTCGTGTTTCCCCCCTATATTTATGTTAGTATGAATTGAAATTGAAAACTATGTAGTAGGAATTAATTCTAAAGGTAACATGGAAAAATAGAAATATGATGTCAATAAGTTCAATATCGAATATTGCAGGTTGAACATTTATTTCGAGAAAATTTGGCTAATAAATTCATTTGAGTTGCCAATTGGTAAAATAGCCTTCTTTGATAATGTTCTACACGGGAGTGACTCAAACATATCAGTAGTCTAAAATCAAATTTGAACAGATGCCTTAAATTTTGATTTTTTTTTTTTAAAAAATGAAATTTATTATAGTTAATCATATAATTTTTTTTGAGACAAAGTATTTTAGATTTATCAAACTTCTAATCATTTTTTCCTCTAATGATAATTAATACAATGCTAATAAATTTTTTACCGTTTTTTATTAATATGCGTATTATTATTGTTAAAAAATATTTTTATCGTAGTGACTAATGTATTTAGCTAGGGAGTTAGGAAGCCAATGAAGAAAATTTTAGAAGTATAGGGGTGTGAAGTGTAAAAGCAGATCAATAAAGGGTTAAAATGAAAACAAACTAAATAAACAAAAGAAAAAAGATATTATGACAAGGTGGCGTAGTTTAAGGAATATAGCGTCATGTCCACATCAGATTAAATTAAACTTCCCTGCATTATGATCTGTCTCGACATTGCAGTCGTAACAAAGTCAGAATTAAGAATTTGAGGTTTTAAAATTACAGATTAACTTTACTATCTCGACATCGCTGCCAGTTTAGAGCCGAAATCAAGATTTAGGAGTTTCCGAATTTTCTTTAAAAATAGAAAGAGAAACTTTTTGTTCATAGAAAGGTTTGAGAATCCACAACTCTATATTTTCACAAGTTAATATATATACTTATATATTTATTTATTTTTCTTTGTATTTTTCCGAACTTACAAATCCTCGCCTAACTCCACCTTTAATTGTCATCGTACTTTGATTATTATATATGGCCTCTTTGTTTTCAATACTATAAAACCAACTAAGGCAAGTTCAAATAACAGGTATAGTAGAATGGATGAGATTTTTTAGTTAATGTTTGACGTTTTAAGTTATGATAATTGTGTTATATGTAACCAGAAATGTTTTAACATACATATAATTTCAAATAACCAGTAAATTTTAAACAGAATGATTATTTTAATTATTTTTAAGAAAAATGAAAAATCAAAATCGGTTCATGTTGGTAGTGACATGGTGGCCACTATCCCAAATTATGATCATTTGTGAATCATCATCATGCTTCTACTTTTTGTTCATAGTAATGTTTTTTTTTTTGTTTTGTTTAGTCTAAGATTCATTTTGATGAAGTTAAGATTGTTTGGTTTGTTTTAATTTAAATAAAACTTATACAAGGATTTTTGACATCATAGGGGTAAAGAAGAATTTTGTATCCATCCTTAGAGGACATTAAATTCTTAAATTCATTTTAGATTAATTAAATTTGGAAAAATTAATTCAGTAGTCGTTTGTACATTAACAAAAAAAATAATGTATATTTGAAGAAAAGGAGTATTTGGAAAATAGTTGAAAACGAGCAATACAAAATTAGAGTTAAATTTTGATGTTTTGCTCTAATGTGCATTTTATCAAAGAGATTAAAAGACTATGTTTAGTTAGTAGCCTCTCGTTGATAGTTAGCGCACTACACAAGTTCCTTTAATTCTGTTAAGATAAAAAATCAATAATAAATTGACAAGTTTAGCTTGACGATTAATTAATTATAAACTCAGATCTCGTATATATATATACACATATATTAATATATATCGTGACAACACACCTATATATAGAGTGGTCCAAATCTCTGTCAGATGCGCCGTTTCTCGTAATGTCATCATCTAACTAATATGAATTAGCAAAACGATTTAATTTAATTAAATTAAATTTGTTCATGGTATTATTAGTAGTATCATTTTGTTGTGTGCATTTCCACGTGCAAACCACTTCTCATTTACTTCCATAAGGCAGCTTTTTAAACTCAAACATGACACCCTCTTTAATTAACAGTTAAACACTCATTAATTATAAGTTTATAATGATACTAAAACTAATCTATAGTCATATAAAATTGATAGAAATAATTAAAATAACAGCACGCCTAGTAGTTTTTCAACTGATTGGTACGTACGAATCGATCTTATACCTTTCTAGAATGACTACATCACTATAAGAAAAGCCATGCAAACTCATTTCATTTTCAATTAGATTCCTCATTCTTCCACGCATCTTGATTAATTTCACGGAGTACTAGTAATTAACTATGTATAGAAGGAATCACCTAATATAACGCATCTTGACTAAAATCATGGTGTATTAGTAAGTCTGAATAGAAGAAATCACCTAATGCATTTTGTCTCCGAGAGATTTGAGCCTAGGACTTGATGATTCTCAATCCACTTTGTTGACCACAAGGCCACTTGTAGACTTTCTTATTTCTTTATTGAAATACCCATTAACCAAATATAACAAAGAAAAGGAAAACCTAATTCATCATTCTTCACCATGCAACATCTGTAAGCACAAAACATCTTAAGTTAAAGTTCAAGAAACCCTAATTCCCTCCATTAACACTAAAAATTGCTATAAATACTAGCTTCCTCTTGCCTTATTTCATGTTAAGAATTTAAACATCAAGCAAAATGACAACACCTTTTAGCCTCTCAACTTACTTCATCTTCTTCTTTCTTTCTAGTGCATTGCTTCATTTCAACCAATGCTATGCAAAGGAAAAAAAGCCTTCTTCTTATTCCTTGG